CCCCCCCACAGGGTGTACCTATCCTCTAAGTGCAGAAACTGGAGCTTCTTCGAGTGAAGTAAATTGTCCACATCACACAACTATTATTGGCAGAGCGGACCTCAGGTCCCAGGTGCGCACTAACATTACTGCATTATGTTACAGCTGTCACCAACAAGCCAGATCGCCTTGGCTCAAATCCCAACATTGGAGCTCACCAGCGGGGTGACCTTAGGAAGCTGCTTCTCGCTTCTGTGCCTACGGGGGCCAGCTCTCGCCACTCCGAGCTCCGGGCACCGAATCGGCAGTCCTCCGCGCCTCCGGCTTTTGCACGTGCTGTCCCCTCGCGGCGCGCCCAAGCGCTGAGGCTGGACCTTCGGACCCTCCAGTACCCGGGTCCCTGCAGGCAGCAGGCGCTCAGAGAGAGCCTGTCAGAGCCGCGACCAACTCCGGGAGCGCTAGAACCAGCTGCTCCAGCCCCGCGGCTTCCTGTCAGCCTTCGTCCCCAAGAAGCCCCCGCCCCGCTGCGTGACGTCACCTCTCCGCGCCGCTGCGCGGAAGCGTCGGTCAAGGCTGAAGCTAAGTTGCCCCAGCGAAGCTCTGGCGTGGATGCACTCGGGCATTCTTTGCCTCTCCCCGGAGGCGTGGCTGAGTGACTCAGGGCGGGTCACTGCCCCTCTTTGAGTGTGCATTTTACACCAGAGTGTCGCCAAGTGTGCCCACCCCACCCCTGCACAAGAATCCCTGGGATGTTTGAATATGCGGATTCCTGGGGCCCACTCCAGAGCTGCTGATTCACCACCCCTCCGCTGGAGCCTGGGCGTTTTCCAGTTAACAAGCGCGCCCAAGTGCTCACTGAAGTTTAAAAACCATGGTTCCACACGCCTCCTCAGAGGCCCCCGGTGGAAGTGGGCCCGGTAGTAATAACCAGCTCCGGAATCTAGCCTTTACTTTTTTCTGTTTCAGTCTACACTTCCCACTTCCTCCTACATTCTGGGATCAGCCCCAAATTTAATTACCTGTCGAGCCCACGCGTCCTATAGTGAAAACCCCGCCAAAAAAAAAAAAAAAGGCTTAATCTGCATCTCAAGAAAAGGGAAATTCTGTGTCTTGGGAAGAGATAAGCAAAAGAATATACTGTAATAATTGAAATATACATCTCAAAGATACTATGCCAGGGACAGGAGGCAGGAAGAATCCTGTTCATGGAAAATAAATGGTCTGTTAATGTTTGTGGGCATGACTTCCCCAGTCCCCCCCCCTTTTTTTTTTCTTGAAAGGTTTTCGCTATAGGGCGCATGCACTCGCCAGACAGAGAGAGACATAGAGACAGAAAGCGAGAAATCACCCCCCAGAGGGGATGGTCACGCCGCAATCCCTTCTCCTCCATTCTCTCGGGATCTTGGGCACACACGCACACACATCCGGCGTGAGTTTTAAGGGTCCAGGATGCGAACTGCGGTCGACTACGTGGGAGTCCAGCGGCATAGCCATTACGCTTAACTGCTGGTTCCTCCCAGTCCCCTTTTGAAAAGATTTTGGAAAATAGGAAAGGTAGTCAGACTTCTGTCCACCACACCAAGAACAAAACATGCATAAATTAAGTAAAGACATACATTGTTGGGACCAGCAGATGGCGTAATGGCTATGTCGCTGGACTCCCATGTAGTCGACTGCGGTTCAAGACCGGGACCCAGTGGCTTAAACTCACGCCAGGCACGTGTGCGTGCGTGTCCAAGGTCCCGAGAGGAGAATGGAGGAGAAGGGATTGCTGCATGGCCATCCCCCCCGGGGGGTGATTTCTCGCTTTCTGTCTCTCTGTCTCACTCTGTCTTTCTGGCAAGCGCATGCACCCTCTAGCAAAACCTCTCCAAAAACAACAAAAAAGACATACATTGTTTAGGGGTTTCAATACCTGATCAGCTTATCAATTAATAGAATCAGTAAGATATGTCCAGGTTTATCTGGAGTTTCCTGTCTCTAGTCTTGTGATGTTAATTGTAGGAGGGATGTGAGGCATACCTTAGGACAGCCTTGGCCACAGGCCAGTTTCATGACAGAAGGGAATGGTGACGAGGAGTTCATGAGGTCCAGCTGGGACAGAGGTCTGATCCCAGAGGAATAGGGCAAAGTGGGATGGGTGTGTGGGGGGGGTTATTCAATGTATGAGTTTACCTTCAGAGGGAAACACAGTATGAGATCATGTTTGTTTTTCTCTCTTATGAAATAAATACATAAGCCTTTTCTCTTTTTCTTTTTCTGTTTTTCGTTTTAGTTTTTTGTTATAGGGCATGTGCACCTGGCAGAGAAAGACAGAGAGAGAGAGAATGAAAAGGTAAGAAATCAACCCCTCCCCAGGGTGGATGACCACACCACAATCCTTTCACTATAATCCTCAGGATGTGGGGCATACATACACATGTACCCAATGTTTTTCAAGCCACCAGGTCCAGGATTCAAACCACGGAGTCAGCTGTGTGGGATCCATGCCACCTCCTGGCCCCAAATAAATTTAAAAAGAGAAAAGAACTGATCTTCAGTGTAGGCCATGATTTCCAGTCACGGAGTAATCTCCAGCGTTGTTATAAGGGGGTTCTGAGGCCGTAGGTGGACCCAGGACTGCCAGCACACCAAAGCTATCATTGTCTGATAAAATACAAATGCGTGCCGTTATTCTTACTTGTTTGACGATGCTACTGACAGTAATAAGAAACCCATTCATCAGAAAATTCACACTTCCTGGGACCAGCAGTTGGTGTAATAACTATGTCCCTGGACTCCCATGTAGTTGACCGCGGTTCGAGTCCCGGACTTTGTGGCTTAAACTCACGCCGGGCACGTGTGCGTGCGTGCCCAAGATCCTGAGAGGAAAAGAGAGAAGGGATTGCGGCGTGGCCATCCTCCGATGGAGTGATTTCTCGCTTTCTGTCTCTCTGTCTTTCTGGCAAGCGCACAAGCCCTATAGCAAAAAAAAAAACTCCCAAAAAAAGAAAAAAAAGAAAAAAGAAAATTCATACTTCCTTTGTGTAACAATTTCTGTCAAAATTACAGCTACTAGTAAGTTGGGTTCGTGTGTTTGTTGACATTGGAAAAACACCTTTCTGCTTGGAAACCATTTGTACTTATTCTGAGAACGGGGAGGAAGGAGACATGGGTTTTTTTTTTTTTTTTTTTT